AAAAAAAAAAAAAAAAAGATGTATGTTTCCTTCCTGCCCATTTCCACTTTGGGCTTCTCCTCTATCGCCACCTCAGCAATGTGCAAGGAAGATGAGCGATAGCGAGTTCCAGAAACCAAGCAGCATCATACATATGAAACCAGATAGTCGTGACCTCGAACCAAAAGCAGAATTGCAACTAGAGTTCCACCAAATAAGAGCACAGCAAAAGCTCATAAGTGACAATGTTGGAATAGTCTCATCATCATCAACAAAGAACCAATGTCGACATCCTATCTGGCGCTCTGCGCCCGGACTACAAATGGCAGATCCTATCTAGCCTATCTACAATGCCGCTGGTGACGTCAACAGCTCCCCGAAGTACACGCAGATCTCGGCCAATGCCGTTCGTCTCAAGCACCAGGTATGTCTCTCACATCACTCACAACCTCGATCCCCCACTCACAGAAGCCACATGCACCCAAGGACCATCATGCGCCCCATCCAGCATAGCGCAGCGCAGCTCGGCTATGGCTGCCTGCTCTTCCTGCTCGCCCGTGAGCGCGTGGGCTGGCCAGCGTTTAGCGCAGCAGCGCTTGCGCAGCATGCAGCCAGTGCCCGAATGCCAAATGTGAGGGCAGGCACTTTCCTAATGGAAGTGGCCTGCCTGCTGTGAGGCCTGGCTGAACTGGGCCCCTGCCCAGAAGCTTCCGGTACGCCTCGAGAGGCTGAGCCCCGGTCCAAACGAATCAGGCCCAGGGCCTGTGACGGTTGCCTGTGTCCAACTGCCCGCAGCCTTTGTTCGGCCCATGTTGTGTATCTGGCCCAGGGCCTGCCTTGGATATATACGAAAAAGGCAGCGAGGGCCTGGGCGCTCTCAACCAACTGGTGCTGCGCACCTGCCTGAATTTCGCCAGTTGCGTGGTAGCCGAAAAATAGGTCTTTTGGCCTTATTAGGGCCTGCCTTCACTTAGGGCGACCGACAGTGCTGCTTACACGGCCAAAAAGGGGTTCGTCGGGGCCTTATGCCTCGCAAATGCATGTTCTCATCTCACATCCTCTGACATAATCATTGCACAGATTATAACAGGGCGCCTATCCTCCCTCCATGTCAGCAATAAGATATGGAGGATGGCACAGCACGTCCTCACCTTCATGGAGACCAGCAGATCACACGTGTCGACACCGGGTAAGTTCAGGTAAGCGTCCCCTCAACTC